AAACTTACTGACGTTTTCTTCAGTAGAAGCAGAATTTGAAATCCACAATGTAATGTGTAATTCAAATAAGTAGATAAAACACATGCAATGCAATGCAAAAATATAAATAAATGCAGTGCAAATACAAAGAAAAAATCTAATGATGATGCATGTGTTCTAATATTTTTTTTAGAATTGTGTAAAACAAAATAAAATATACAACTAAAATGTCACAATATATAAAAACCAGGCTCTGCTTCAGCAGACTTTTACATTACAAGTGCACTATTGGGGTTTTCCCACTGAATGCTAGTGAATCGTTATTAACCGCTGCAGTACTCTTGTCAGAGAGTCGGAGTCATCATATTCAGTTTGACCATTTATTGAATAAGATTTGACCACATACACTTGTCAGTGTATTTGAGGTAGTTTTTTGTCAACTACTTTCTCTTGTACATAATGCGGTCTCCGAGCAAGCGCACGCTGTCTGACTGACGTGCTGCCGGCTTACTTAGTGAATACGCAGTTACGCTAAAAGTGTCTATAATGTAGGCATTGCACTATGTCTTTTACGTACTTTACGTAAACGTCACGCAAATCACAGATCCTAAATTTAGAGGGGAAGAATTAACAACATGCACATTAAAATAAACCAAGGAGCCCACAATGATGATAATACAAAAGAAACGGTCTGATCAGATGCTCTGTGTGCTTGAAGTGGGTCTGTTGGCTCATTTAGGCATTCATGCAGTTAAAGATCTCAAACTTTGTCTTGGAGGAAGGGAGTAAATGATCGAGCATCTGATAAGAGAGAGTTATATTCTGCTAATGAGCTCTCTTTCATCAGTCAGAAAGCATCGACACGCCCCACTTTGAGTTTGAAGGGGTCTAGTGCAATCCTGTGTCACCAAAACAGATGACATGATAGGAACAGTGCAGAAGCTCTACAAAGAAACAGCCAAGAGAGCAGTTTGTGTAGCGCTTCCTTTGCTGAATGCACGCTAACGTCAAGTTCATATTAAGGTCATGCAAAGACATAAAATCAAGGTCAAAAAAGCAGTTATTATTGTTAATTATCTTTTTATTCATAATTATATAGAATTAATTTTATGGCGATGTAGTGGCGCAGTAGGTAGTGCAGTCACCTCACAGCAAGAAGGTCGCTGGGTCGATCCTCTGCATTTCTGTGTGGAGTCTGCATGTTCTCCCTGCGTTTGCGTGGGTTTCCCCCGGGTGCTCCAGTTTCCCCCACAGCCCAATGACATGCGGTACAGGTGAATTGGGTAGGCTAATTTGTATGAGTGTGTGTGTGAATGTGTGTGGATGTTTCCCAGAGATGGGTTGCAGCTGGAAGGGCAGGTTCAAGTTGGCGGTTCATTCCGCTGTGGCCACCCCGGATTAATAAAGGGACTAAGCCGACAAGAAAATGAATGAATGAATGAATTATTTTTGTTCATATATTATATTGTTTATTGTATATATAATTTAATTTGTAATATAAATTTATATTACTATTATATATTAGCATTCATTAATAATGCTAATATATAAAAGCTACAAGAAATTGATAGTGTTTTTAAAAAAATCATAAGCTTGTCTTGTGATGATGATGATGCATGACAAATAAAGATGCATTAAAAATTAAAGATGCTTAAAAATCTAGTTTAGATTAATATCTAATATGTGTTATATCAGTATATTTATGCATTCAGACACAAAGTGCATTGCAAACAGTGTAATAAAATTAATAATAATAATAAACTTTAACACTGTAGTTTACAAAATTCCACTAATAACTTGCTTATTATTAATGTATTAACTCTTTATTAGTATTTATAAAACATGCTAATATTATGCAGCCCTAATCCTACCCAATACATAAACACAACTACTACCTTAATAACAATAATTAAGAAGCTAATTAATCATTTGAACAACAAGTCTTAGTTAATGGTGAGAATTGCACATTAAAATAAAGCGTGACCATATGTTTTATCGCACAGCATGATTTTATTTAATACATTTTCATTCCCACATGCAAATGTCCTTCATGTTTTAATTAAAAATAAATAAAGGGAATTTGAATGCGTTATAAAGAGAGTGTAAAAGTAGGCTTGTGGTTGTTTTTATTGAGAGTATATGTTCAAGTATATTGTTGTTTTTAAAAATGATCTTACAGTATGGCTGATTCATTGGGAAGATATTCTGGTAACACTTTAGTTAAAGTACCATTTCCCACGATCTTCTGTATATAACTATTAAACTATATTAGTATAATGTAATCTGTATTATAGTACAATACTATTACAATAACCAATATAACTGGCTTATTACTTGCCTTTTAATAAGGTACTGACGGTTTATTAGTATTCATAAAGTATGTTCTTATTCTACATCCCTAATCCTACCCAATACCTAAACCCAACTACTACCTTTATACCAATTAATAAGAAGCTAATTAATAATTTAAGCTACAAGTCTTAATGGTGAGAGTTGCACATTAATATAAAGCGTGACCATAATAATACTCTAATGTTTTATCGCACAGCATGATTTTTAAAATACATTTTTATTCATATTTTATTCATATATGCAAATGTCCTTTATGTTTTAATTTAAAAAAATAAAGAAAATAAAGAAAATATAAATGTGTTATAAGGACAGTGAGACAGTAGGCTTGTGATTGTTTTATTAAGAGTATACATTTAACTATATATTGTTGTTTTTAAAAATGATCTCTTATAGCTGATATATTGGCAAGATATTCAGGTAACACTTTAGTTAAAGTACCAATTCCCACAGCCTATATAACTGTATATAACTAATAGAACCAATATAATAACCAACAAATATAGCTGGTTTATTACATAAGTTATTGACTCATATGTATGACCTTACTGCACATCCCTAACCCATCTACTACCTAATAAGCAGAACATTTGTATTGAGCGAAACTTCTGGTTAATAGCAAGAACTGTACCTTAAAATAAAGTGTTACTGAGATTTTACATTTCAATGAAACTTCTGGGATATAAAGGCTTAAAAATAAATAAATAAATGTGGTATATAAACTAAATAAAATGCAGGACTCCACACAATTCATTCATGTTGTCACAACCCATGGATTAAGTAATTAAGTGGATTGAAGATAAAACAGTTAAGTTGTCCCACGCCTTCCAAAAATAAAAAATAAATAAATAAATCTCAAGAATTGTGTTTCAGCTCAGTTTAAATAGTTTCAACGAGCAGCAAGAAAAAATATGCGTTTATTTAGAGATTTTCTGCATGCGTTTATTTAGCAATGCTTTATTTTTCCGATTTCAGTACATGCAAGATATTTCATCATATTCTGAGATGAAATCTGACCACAAAGCCTTAAAGACAGCTGTCAGTCATCTTCTAACACTCATCATCATCACCAGCTCATCTTGACTGCAGCCCGCCGGACTTTCGGCTGAACAAAAGACATGCATATTAAGGCCGAGGGCAGGACGCCATAATAGTACAACATTAATCTCATTCGATAGGCGTAATTAAATTTCAGAAGGCACGTTTGGCCGAATAATGGAGAGGAAACCAGGCTTATGGCACACAATAGATTTCAAGCACTCGTGGAGCTGCTCGGCATTTAGCGCTGCTTGTCTTTCAATACACAGATGACTTTCTTCACGATAAACCTGCGTGCAGCTTCTCTTATCGGCATCTCTTTTACATGTATGATTATTAATCATCTCGGGATGTGCAGACCTCTTCAAATGAATTAGATGCGTTGCGTTTGATTGTGTAGAAATCGCATTGCATGCAAGTAAATAATAATGTGGTAAGGGGGAAATGTCTGACAACAGGTTTAAATCCAAAAGAAGACCTTTTGCAATTAAATGATTTCTCCCACTTGTTAAAAGCTGTCGTTTTAATAATGGGGAACAACAGAGGAGGTGCGGGCAGAATCCACTTAAACATACAATTTACACAAGGACTCTCTCAGATATCTGTAATTGCATTGGAAATATTCCTCAACCCAATTTTCGGGTCACGATGCGCTGCCTTCGGAAAAAGCTTTGAAGTCGGAGAGAGAGAGAAAAGCCCAGAGAAAGTTCCGCGCTGTGATAAACACCTCGTGCTTTATCTGACTCATAAACGCGCACGTGCTTCAGTGGAAATGCGCAGATAAATTAAAGACTTTGCTTTTAATCAATTCAGCCACTCGGATGGCGTTTTAGTGATGCTTTGCATTAAAATTGAACTCTTTTCCTCTTGTTTATTAAATAAAACACATTTCGCGTTTTTTTGTATTATCTAAGTTATTTATTAGGATAAATCGGTTCAATTTATTGCAATATTTAACTTTTACAACACAGAACTTTAAAGCCAAATTAGTCAAATTGCGTATTTCCCTCGGAAACCAGAAATCGCGCTTACCTGAGAAGGTAACCATAGCAACAGTCCCACTTTTCAGTCGATAATTATTAAATGAAATATTGACAAATTATGAAAATTAAATAATTCTATATTCTTTTAAATCCAGCTATTTGATTTCTATAAATGTATATATATATATATATAGGCTAAATAATTAAAGTGTTTTGTTTAAAACTATTCTAGAATAAACCTCATCAGATTTGATCTCCAGATTTATTTTAAAGTTTAAAGCCATTGTGGATAATTTGCGCACTCGAGCGTTGAGTGGGCTATTATTAAAGCGCATTCACACGCTGCGTCCTGGACGCTCACACATGATGTTGGGTTGCTTTTCACTCTGAGCAAAGTGAGTTTATCATTTCTCTCTCGTCCGCGCGCTGGGTGGGATTTTGGAGCGCCCGAGGTCTGACAGATGCAGAGCGCATGCGCCGAGGGCCCTTTCACTACCTGCCAGCGCGCTCCTTACTTCACATGTTGCAGCTCTCGACCGACAATCACTCGATTTAAGTTATCAGCGACGGCTGCTTCGCCATGGTGAAGAGGAAAACACACAGCGAGCACAGCTGAGCGGGAACACACAGCTTTTTCTTCATTTCGTCTGACAGCCACTATTTTTCCAGGATTTACCAAGGATGCGTCTGAGAACTTTGCTTTCGCGAAAGTTAAATTACGCTTGACTTGGACTTGTTCTGCGCGTCGGAATGAAGAGCGTGAAGTAAACCTGGAGACTTCTGTTGTTTTTAAATATATAGCCTAGCTATATATAAATCACGCAACTTCATCAAAACAATAAATAAATAAATCTATACTTTGGGTAAGTGACAGCCCTGTCAGTGGATTTCTACCTGAAGCAGGTGAACGCGTCATGTCCAAGCCCATGGATCACGTTAAGCGTCCTATGAACGCGTTCATGGTCTGGTCCCGAGCGCAGCGGCGGAAAATGGCCCAGGAGAACCCGAAAATGCACAATTCCGAAATCAGCAAGCGCCTCGGAGCGGAGTGGAAACTTCTGACGGAGTCTGAAAAGAGGCCGTTCATTGACGAAGCCAAGCGCCTGCGGGCGATGCACATGAAGGAGCACCCCGACTACAAATACAGACCCCGGAGGAAGCCCAAGACTTTAATGAAGAAGGACAAATTCGCGTTCCCGGTGGCGTATAATTTGGGAGAGCACGAGGCGCTGAAGGTGGGCGGCTTACCAGCCGGAGCGCTCACCGAGTCTCTAATGAGCAACCCGGACAAGGCAGCGGCGGCGGCGGCCGCAGCGGCGGCCAGGGTGTTCTTCAACCCCTCAATGTCCGCAAACCCGTACTCCTTTTTTGATCTTGGCTCAAAAATGACCGAACTTTCGCCACCGTCTTTCTCCTACGCCTCACCATTGGGTTACCCAACAGCGGCGACCGCGTTTTCGGGCGCAGTCGGCGGCGGAGCGCACACACACACGCACTCGCATCCTTCACCGGGTAACCCCGGGTACATGATCCCGTGTAACTGCGCAGCCTGGCCGTCAGCGGGGCTCCAGCCGCCCCTTGCATACATTTTACTACCCGGAATGGGAAAACCACAACTTGAACCGTATCCCGCGTACGCGGCGGCGTTATGAGACTCTAAAGCGAGAAAAGTTTTTAATGTGAGCAGAAAGAAAAGACTACATGCAATACACGTGGAGCATGCACGAACCTGAACATGTGATGACCACGATCGTCATATCAGACATCACATGTGTTTGTATCATGATTATAATGCCTTGATGTAAAGGTAAAAGCTCTGACTTTCCGGATATCAGTGTGCTGAACGGATCCAGTCTGCCCTTGTCAATGTGAATAATCCAAGGAGAAGCGTCTGATTATTAACCTGTTGACTCTGTAACTAGCTCAGCCTAATACGCGCCGCTGTTGCAGAGAAGATCGGTCAATGCTGTCAGCGTGGTGACTTTATTGAAGATAAAAGGAAACGATTAATCAGAAAATCAGTTTTAAGGAATCCCGCGCAGTTTCTTTTCTAATCAAATCATGTGGGTGTATAAATGTGTACAGTTTTATTCAACTGGTATAGTGCTCTCTATAAAAGTCGGAGCTGCTGGATTACAAATCGGGTGTATATTATGAGTTCTGGAAAACTATTCCATGGATGTGTGTAATATTTATTGTTCAGTCGGTGAAAATCCTATTTGTTGATCGTGGGACACGCCGTGTTCTTTGATATTTGCACAAAGGGAGAGACCACGAGCACTTATACATGTAATTTATTGAAAAGAAACACCAGAAATAATGATCATCATGCCCAAGTTTCGGAAATTTTCCAAGGGTGCTGGTCGGCATAATCACTCTCCACATCACAGACGACTGTCAGACGCGTTCATTTAAGAAAGTCAGTCCGTTTTTTACTAACTCGAAGTGAAAATGTATGTTATATGTTTTGCATAATTCCACTTATATGTACTTAAAATGCCTATCGTTCGTTTGAACAAGGGGGATATAATAAAGCGTATGCGGAAAAAAAGGAAATTGCTCTGTAGTTCTTGATGAATGGCGAACAAGATTTGTATCTTGAATGCCTTTACTTGGTCGGAGCAGGTGAAGTGTAAAGTATCCTCTAAAGGACGCTTTTGTTCGGGCTTTGAATAGAATTACTCAGAAATCTCAAGCAAGTCTTTGTAATCAAGAGCCAAAATCCTGATTTATCACAACTCAAATCATGAATAGGAAGGAAGATAAAGCTTAGGAGTTTACTTTGAGGAAAAACGAAACCTATTATATGCCTCCGCACAGTCCTTTCTTTTTAAAGCAAGGCCCAATTAGAGAAATCCTAAAATACTATTTTATAAACAGCTATTTTAAAATTAACTAAACATCTGACGCACATCAGAAATGATCTTCCTTAGGGTATTCTTCACGTCGGGTCTGTCCTAATGTAAACTGTCCTCTTAGATTACATTAAGAAGTTAATTCAAACGGCTCAGACCAATTATGCAAAACTAATTTGGACTGTCCAGGGATAATTACCTCCGCCACGCTTAATTGAATCTTTTGACTGGGCTGTATTCTCCATTGTAACCGCGCGATCGCAGCTCTCCACGGAACTTCCTGCTCCGCTTTGGAGAAATGACCTTCTTCACCTGTTATGAATCAACAAATCACGGCCTGGTGTGTGCGTTATTTACAGGACAGCCCGTTTGAGCTCGAGATCGAGCTTTTATGCATTGGCTCTTAAATAGATGTCTGTGGTTATAGCAAATTTTCACAAACTATACGGTATGTTTGAATGATTTGCATCCCAATGCAACTTGCAAAAAAATTGCACATGCATTGAAATGGATATGATTACATTTTTTTAGCAATCAAATATACTAACTTCACTGCAAAACGTGATATAAAAATTAGTGCTTTATTTAAGATTTATTTCATGCATGCTCTGATCTTTAATTTTTTGCATGGTGCAAAATACACACTAGGTTGTTGTCAAATATACCATATTTATAATTATAATATAAATGGACAGTTTTTTCAAACTACTCGAGTTTAACAACAATTGTTTTCAGCTCAATGCACTTAAATTTGCAAAAACTAGTAAGCTAACTTAATTTATTAACAGGGTTTCAGCAGGTTTCACTAAGTTAAATTTAAGACTTTAAGAACAATACTAAAAGACCAAATATATAATATTTATAATTATAATATAAATGGACTGTTTGTTGAAACTACTTATTTAAAATTAGCACAAAAAAAAACGAAACAATTCTTGAGTTTTAACAACTTAATTGTTTTAAGCTGAATGCACTTAAATTTGTAAAAAAAAACTGGTAAGGAAACTAATTCCTTCACAGGTTTTCAGCAGGTTTATTTTAAGACTTTAAGACCATTACTAACAGAACACCACTAAAATGCTTGGTTGTTGCAACCCAACGTTGAGTCAAATATATAATATTCATAATTATAATATAAACGGAAAAACCCAACTGAGGTGTTGGAGTATAAAATGTCATTTAAAATGCATATAAAATTGTGCCCCATGTTGAGTTTGTACACATTTGACCCAAATTTAGGTTACAAAAAATCTGAAATTATATTACACAGATACATAACATATAATAAAGCTATAATAATATAATATAATACAATATATAACTCAGAATATACAAATATATATAGTAGTTAACATTTGAAGGGGATCAAAAATGTTTTCCAAATTGTCCTATAAGACAAGGATGAGTTCTGCTCTATTATTTTAATATTTTTAGGACAACTTTGATGGAAGGTTTTGATCCACTTCAAATGTATAATTTTTCTCCTAACATTAGCATTTTTCTCAGCCTACTATGTATAAAGATAATATCCTTTTTATGTCAATTATTATGTTATTTTCATTGACTTTAATGTAAAATTAATTAAAAAAAATGGAAGTCTCTGAAAAAAAAAGCCAATTTCAAAAGTAAATTTCAGATGGCACTTAGAGGTTTATGCATCTGAACTCATATATACACATACACACACACACACACACACACACACACACACAAACACACACACACATATATATATATATATATATATATATATATATATATATATATATATATATATATATATATATATATATTAACATTGTACATTTGAAGTGGATTTAAAAAGTTTAATGTAAAATCTGATGGTTGCATTCAAATTAGGAACATTGCTTTATGTATAATTAATAATCTTATGTATATATATATTTGTATTATAGATTAATATACGTGTTATATAATAAAAGCAATGTTTCGTATTTGAATGCAACCCTTACATTTTACATTAAATGATTAAATCAGAATTTTAAATACATTTCAAAATAACTTTCCTGACCTTTATGAACGGAGCGAGCTAAAGCACACAGGTCGGTTCTTGCTGCATTTTGAATGCACCTCAAAATATCATTTAGATGTAAGCAGAAGCACGGACTGAAATCAAATCCAAAACTCTGCATATTTTGTCAGGTATCCTGACGCACAATTAGATTTTTGAACAGTGGGTTTTTCTCCCAGACAATGTTAGGAAAAGCTTTGGGTCTCGGCCTACAGTTTGCACAGGGAAACGTCTGAAAAGGTCGTCAGCTCCACAAAAGAGCGCACATTACAAGCCCAGTGACCGTTTTCCTTTTTTTCCCCCCTCTCTTTTCTCCCTTCGCTTTACTCGGAGGAAAAAAGGGGGCACTAACTGAAAGAACTTTGTCTCCCTTCAGTAGGAGCATTTAGACAGTCGAGGAGGTTTTGTCTGGGAACAAAACATGAGTTGGGAGGCCTTTGTGCGCCTGTTGTTTGTTGAAGTGGAGCTCAGCAAAAAGCGCCTGCTTTCCCTCATTGTGGTTAAAGCAATCAGTGGTATTTGGAAAACTGTTAGCATTGTGCACTTCTTCTGTGCTCATTGTCGAGGATTTCTTTTCACCGGGTTTTTTTTCACCCTTCCACCCTTTTTTTTTCAGGCAATCCAGCTGGCCGGGGTGAATAGCGCTGCAATGTGTACACGCTTTGTCCCTCCGAGTCCTTCAAGTAGCCTACATTGAATAGAGTGAGTTGACACTGGATGACAGTGAAACAACATAATAAAAAATACATGAGCGCATGAATGGAGCCAGGCGCATAAATAAATAAAATGGGTGACCAAAACTGGATAAACTGAATGACAAAACGGTGAAAGGGGGAACAAAAAGATATTTAACACGGCAGATTAGCATTAGAAAGCCATCTACAAAAGCAGAACAATTGATGAATGCGTTTACAGGCCAAGAAAGGAATGAACTAAATGGCTTTTGAATAGATATGCTGCTTTTTTTTTCTCTGTGCTTTTCTGGAAACGAGATCCAATGGGAAAAAGGTAGAGATGCAACTATTCAAGCAACCACATGAGAAAATCTTTTCAGCAGTGGAAGAATGACGAAATTTGTTCATTTGCACAACCACCCCCCCCCAAATAAAAGCCTCCTTACTGGCAGAAAGTTACCGCTGTAAAGGTAAGTGTAGATATGTGAAGGGCTTTTGTTTATCCTTGCATGCACGAAATGTGCAATGCAACACTTTTTTTTAATAAGCTTCAATTAATGCATGCTTTTATTACCATAAACAAACAATAAACGATACGGTTATTACAGTAATTATTCATGATCGTTAATAAAAAAGTCATTCATTGTTACTTGTTAACTCTGTGCATTTCCTAAAGTTAACCATTTCATTCAATTATTTTCCTTCCAGCTTAGTCCCTTTATTAATTTGGGGTTGCCACAGCGGAATGAACCGCCAACTTATCTAGCATATTTTATATATATATATATATATATATATATATATATATATATATTGGAATTGCAACCCATCACTGGGAAACATTCACACACATACATTACAGACAATTTAGCTAACCCAATTCACCTGTACCACATGTCTGGACTGTGGGGGAAACCGAAGCACCAAGAGGAAACTCACGCCAACACGGGGAGAACATGCAAACTTCACACAGACTGACCCAAGATGCTAACTGACCCAGCCAGGGCTCGATCCAGCGACCTTTTTGCCAGGGCTCGATCCAGCGACCTCCCCCCCCCCCCCCCCCCCCACACACACACACAAATATCGGTAATACTTTAGAACATAAATAAATATAAAATAAATATGACTGGAAAGCCAACGTGATTTATGAATAATTTCCATATGAAAACATGAATCCTCATTTAAAAGCAAGTTTAACCCCTTGATGCACAACATGGGTCTAAAGTGATCCGACTAAGTTAATTGTTTTATATCTGTGCAAGATTTTAACTGCATCACTTAGTATTCCATGAATAATTTGATAAACATCAGCACAAAGACTTGTATTGTTTTTTTCTTTTTTACTTATTGAATAAAATAATTTGTGTGTCACTACCCTTTTAATGCACACCATGTTATTTCAGTCATGGCAGAGCATTTTTTTATTTCATTATT